TGTAATCTTTAGTTACTTCTAGTTCCCTCTAGTGTCCAACCTTCAAAGTCCCATCCTATCATGTTTTTTTTAAATAATTCAAAACAAAAGCATTTTCCCATGGGAAGGATTCTTATAATTAATTCCAAAATCTTATTTCAAATCCATCTGGACCTTTAGTCCGTTTGCATCTTTCCAAAATCAAAGTTCTAATTACCTTCTGCTGCTTATTAAAAAAAACAACTTTTTTTTAACGTTCTTAAACTTATATTTAAAACTTATTTCACTAAGGATTGAAAGAAACTCAGCCAGTGTTTCAGTGTTTTCAGACTTGTCAATCCAAAGCTTCCTAATACTGAAAAGCAATTAACAATTTCTGAAAGTGATTAGAAAAAGAAGTAAGTGAACCCAGTATCCTTTTAAAGCCGCCGACCGTGGTTTCAGCAAGAGGGCTATTCCCTCATCTCCCAGAGTTCTAAACCCACTGGAGACTGCTGTCTTGCAGTCTGCTCATGAAGAGCAACTGTCTGGAGCATTGGGGGTAATCTCAAGTTCTCTCCTTGTCCTTAGAGGAATTACAAACCACCCGTCTATTTGCTGGCTCCTCATTCTGCCATGGTTGTTTTCTCTGCTGTCTTCAGTTCGCATTTCTTCCCTGGAAGTCTGCTACCTCCCATCTTCTCATGGTACAGTTAGTTACTATACGTATCAAAAGGATGCTCTTGACCAGTATCCATGTTATAGGCAATAAATGTATTTGCTGGCATTTAAAATGGGCAGGATCATATTGTTCAAAAAGCTGGTTTCTTTTCCAAAAGAGCAGGAATCCATAAGGTACTTTGCATACCAGCTAGATTCCCTGTCTCACCTGATTCAGTGTTGTAATGCTATATGGGAATGACCTTGGGAGATGGGGGGAAGAGATGCTGCCTAGGGAACAATCAAATAAGGAGGGAGGGAATCCACAGCTGCATAATGGGCATAGAAAGAAACTCAGAAAGGAATCTCCCTAATTCATCAGGCAGTAAAAAGAGACAGTGGGAGATCTGGACTTTCAGACTTGTGAGATTCTGTTAATGTAGCCTTACAGTAGAATTAGCTCATCTTGTCGTGTTTCCTCTCTGGTCTACCTGGGAAAGCTAACAAATGTTTTCTTTTATACATTCTCTTAATTATGAATAAATGAATGGCACATTGCCAGATATCTAGCTTCAATTTGCATGTACAAGAATAACTCAAGTATCCCCAGTTTAGTACTTTGTTTAAAAGCTTACCTACTTGCTCAGGAAAAAAATAGACAAAGATTAAAGTAATATTTGGGGTAAGGGAGCAGCAGGAAAAAACCTCACCAATGTATATCTAATAAATGGATGCTTTTAGACTGTCCCACACCCTCTGGGACATCCACAAAACACTTTCCAGGTGCCATTCATGCCCCTCCACTAACCCAAAATAGACAAGAAGAAAGTCAACTACATTGCATTCTGCTGCACAGGGCCACTTCAATTTTGAGCATAAGGATTTTAGAAAAAAGTATCATCTTATAGTCGGAAAAATACGATATTATGTCCATTACATTCCCACAATTTACTAAGGAAGTTACCCGATTAAAAAAATTAGATAAGGTTAGCCTAGCATGACTAGTTCTTGACAAATCCACACTGGTAATGATCATCTTGTTTTTCGAGATATTTATATATCAATCTCTTTTTGATCTGCTCCAGAATCTTACTAGGTAAAGACTAACTGCTATGTAGTTCACTGAATCCTCTTCGTCTCCCCATTTTGAAGGCAGGAACAATGTATGTTCTCCTTCAATTGTCTGTCACTTTATCTCTCTGGAGTGCTTCTCTTCTGTTGGTTCTTTATCTGTCCTCCAGGATGTCTCATAAGTAAAGCCTCAATCAGACCATTAGTTAGTTACTTCAATACTCTGGGATCCAATTCATCTGGCCCAGGAGATTTAAATTCATTCACAGTAAATAGGTTTCAATCCTGTCCCTTTATCCTGTTATTCAGTTGCCTGATAGCACACATACTGTTTCTCAGGCAGGACTGAACCATGCTGATCAGTCTTCTTTGTGGTTACCTATTAACATTTGGTATATTAATTCATTTATCTTTCTTGTATCTTGAACATTTTTGAAGAAGCCCATTTTGTGTTTCCTAGCATCCTTTGCTTTCCTCACCAGTTGTGAGCTTCTGCCTTTCAAACACCATGTCTTTGTCTCCAGACAATTGTATATATTAAAAGAGACCCACCTCTCTTTCCATGTTGTATGTCTGTCCTTTTGTTTTCAACTTCACTAAGGTTTTTGTGCAGCCATATTGTTTTTTTCTGGTGCGTTCCATTTTTCCTCTTTGGAGCAGTTGGCACTTACGCTTTTAGCTTTTCCATTTTCAGGAACTTCCAAATATACTGAGTTCCTTTTCCCATTAGCTTCTGCTGCTATGGGATCCTACTTATTATTGCTCTGAATTCATTAAAATTTGCTGCTTTGAAGTCCAAGATGCATCTTCAACTACACTGAGCCTCAGACGTTATAGGAAGGAAGCTGCGTTAGTTTATGGTGGCAAAAATCCAACTGATTCCTTCTACTTTCTGCTTCAGTTTCTCTTAAAATCAAGAACTCCAGCAAGTTTGGTAACTTCCCCCCCCCCAATCTTCTTGCCAGTTTGACTATGTTCTCCAAATTGACCAGCCTAAATGAAGGATAGCTGCTCCTCTTGTGTTTTCCTCCTCTCTCTGAAGGAAAAAGATGTCAGCAAAACAAGGCAGGAATTTCTTGGAAGGACCATGCCTAGAAAGGTTGGCCTTCCAGCTGATGTCAAGTAGGGCCAAGGTATTTTGCTTCTGGAAGCTAAGGACAAGAGGTCACCCCTTCTGTTCTGTCTACAGAACTTACGTATGCTGGCAGTAGAACATTTACTCAATGCTATCCATAGAATTTGGGTCTATTCCATCCTGGAGGACAGGACAGCAGTATGTTACACAAGTCTATCACCTAACAGAAGGCTACTCTTGTAGAAATACACTTCTTTACCATGATAAAAGAGCTGGTCTGGTGTAGCGGTTAAGGCATCAGGCTAGAAACTGGGAGTTCCAGCCCTGTCTAGGCACAAAGCTTTCTCTTAGCCCTAGGAAGGAGGCAATGGCAAACCACTAATGAAAAACTTTGCCAAGAAAACCACAGGGACTTATCCAGGCAGTCTCCAAGAATCAGACACGATTGAACATACATAGATACATACATACATACATACATACATACATGAGATAAACTATAGGTTTCCTTATTTGAGTACTGCCTAAATACTAAAGTAAGGCAGTGGTCTATCAAATCAAGTTTGGTTTAAAGTATGCTTGTGGCCTTATCTTAAAACAAAACAAGAATTTTCCTAATGATAATTAGGTGATTTGAGGGTGGAACAAATTGCCAGGGAGAAGCAGGCTCCATTTGAATGTGTCAAATGTGTTGAAGGGGAGTAAAGCAGTACTTATCTGTTGAGGATGATTCGACTGGTATCCATGCAGTGAGCATGAAGCTGGACACGCAGTGATCTGAGTGGCACACTGCACGATTCTATTATATCTGTCACCTAGTTCAAGTGTTGGAACAACGCTGAAGATTGGATTTATATGTCACACTAAGACAAAATGCTGTCTGCTGGTTTATAGCTTAGTGAATTGTGTGGACCAAGTGACCCCAAACAAGGTTAGCATAGGTTAGAAAATGCTTATATATTGCCTGTAATTGTCCCAGACTGAACAGAACAATGTCAGAAGAAGATTACACTGGGCGATTAATGTTTGCATTACAGCTGCAGAAAATGCAAGGGGAAAATGCATGCTCACTGAGTATCGTAGGAATCAACAACCTACAAGCACACTAGGAAGCACAAAGTTGCTGCAGCTGAAAGACAACTGTTGCCTACTTTCATTTATCCGTAAAACTGAGGATTACAACTACCATAGTCTTCAGGCTGGAAAGTAGGAGGTACAACCATCGATGTTTCATTGCAACCTGACCACTATCCCTTTTCTCCAGCGTGAAGTTCAACTTTAGAAATCCGGCTGTTTTTCTGGAGTGGGGGCAGGGGAAAGGGGTAACTTAAAAAATCCCCAACTCAATACACATTTGCCTTTGGAATCCGACCGGGAGGGGGCAGCAGAGACTGGATTCCATTCAGCTGGACAGAGAGACAAAGTAACTACCCACCCCCTTTGATTAAAAGTGGAAACTGCTAGGAAAATCCAACTACTGTACTTTCCGCCCACCGGTCACCTGAAGAGCCCAAGGAGAACAAGAACAGCTTTAAAAGACCCACTGTGCGTTTCTGTTCGAAGCATACCAAAGGTTGGGCCGCTCTGGAGAGGAACTGAAAAGGCTGAATTTAGTTCCCATTTTCGGCTAAGCAGAATTGTATACCCAATTATTTATAAATGTGAACACACCGCTGCGCGGGTGAAACAACAAACTGGCACTGCAGTTTGCGTGCCACCATAGGCCTATTAAGGAAATTCATTCGGGAAGAGAAGAATGTAAGGGGCGGCGGGGGGAAAGTATGCAGGAAAATATGCCCGGGAAGAAGGAAACGCGCAGGGATTTTCACATGGATGCGGAAACGAACCCAGGCGATTCTGTAAGCAGAAGGAAAAAAAGGGGAAATGGAGCCCCATCGAGATGGTCTGCTTTGCGGATATTCAGACTTACTTGGGAGTAAGCCTGAGTTTAACTTCCAAGTCACCAGAGGCGCGTACGCGGCTTCAAATTGCTGGGGGATGGGGGGGAACAGGGGCTCGTCTCTGGGGGGCCTTTCCCACCCCCTTTATAGCTTTCGTGGGGAGGAAGGAAGCGGAGCCCTTGGGAAGACGGCCTGGCCGAAGGAAAACCCTGTCGCGGGGCAGGACCCGGGAAGCCTCCGGCTGGGCGAGGAAACTCCCGGCTTTCCCGCCGCCCC